TATTATTCCATCTTCAAGGAGGATAACCTTACTTCTCTCCCCCTCTTGTTTTTAAAGATTAGCTGTGAAAAAAACCCCTAGATCAAAAGCTATTCACCCTTCTCCTCCCACCATTTTGCTCTGATTACAAATGTCTTTACAGCAGACAAATAATTGGAAGGAGGTGTTTGGGGACAAGGGGTTGTAAATCACTAGCATTTATTTATGTTTTGTGAACTTTCTTTGCAAAAAGCAAGCTGCCTACACAGGAACACATTTTCAGCTGGCCAAAGTAGCGGAGGAAAATAGGTAAGGAGTTGATTGGTGGGTTTTGAACCAATCAAAATCTAAGTTTGCTTTCATCTTCCCACTGGTTCAATCAAACAAAATGAGACACAGCTCAGGGTGGCAATGATGGAGCAGAGAGATTATACCCAAAGCTTTTGCCTTTTTAATCTGTTACAGTCAGAGCTGGACAGTGCTAGGTGTCTGTGCAGAAAAGGTCAGGCATACTTCTGCTTACAGCTTCTCCTCCCGCAGCAGCTCCCTATCTATCCAGCCCACTACGGCTGATGTGAACCTTTTCTATCATCCTGGGGCACCATCTCTGAGTGCAGTGAGTGACTGCAAAAGAAGCAGAATCTTTCATTGGTGAATCTTCTATGGAAGCAGAATCTTCCATACAACCTATACATACGAAATTTAATCTAAAAAAGTAAGCCAGAAGTGGGGAACCTGCTGTTCTTTAGATATTTCTGAAGTACAACTTCTAGCCAACTCAACCAACATGGCCACTTTTTCTTGTTTGTAAATGAGGATTTCTTAGAGCAGATTTTTGAAATTCCTTGGAAGAAGAAATAAGGAACAATGTATTACTGGAGGCTTGTTTCAGATTTTGTTATGTTTACTATTCCTGTAGCCAGGAGCAAAGACACCTGTTCTGAATACTAGACCCTCTTTTCCAAATAGTGAGATAGTCCAACAACAATTTTTCCGGACGGACTGAAGCCATTGTTCTACTCCTTCATGTCAAATAGTCTGTAAATTAGTTTTACTGCACAATGCCTGCTCTTTTGGAAGAGCAGTAGACTGTCTTTAGGAAAACAAATAAACAAACAAACAAACAAACACAAGAGAAAGCTTTGATGGATCTGTGCACATGCATGACTGTCAGACCCAGCTCAAGAAACAATGGTGAAACTATCCAGCTGAGTAAAGTTCCTTTATTTACTTACACTATATAGACAGAATCTTGCCAGACTAAATCTACACTACTGCAACTAGTGGATATACTCTAGGAGATTCTAGGGAGTGGCTATCCTGAACCTCTTTTGCCTCCCACACTCCCCCTGTGGACTGTGTTGTCTCTTCTCCTTTCCCTCCCTGGTGCCCTTGCTCTCTGTTGCAATCCCCCACATCACCCTCCTCTTTGTAGATACATTCCATCACACTGAGTGCCATCAACCCTTTGCCCACCACAGCTGCTGGGGATTAGGAGATGGCTGCAGATAACATCAGCCTCAAGAGTTGCCTTTCCCTCTCCCTGACCCAGCCTCCAGCACCCACTGAAAGCACCAATGGAATTGGCTAAGGCAAAACAAAACTGATTGGTTCTGTGTTGACATAACAGCAGTGTCTTCTCTTTCCCAAATGCCATTTCAGTTCAACATGGGAAACCAGGTTCAAAGAACACTTTTCTTTTTAAAAAAGAACCCCTCTGCTGTTACCCCTAAGATATTACTTTGAAATCTGTTTTAAAGTTACAGGAGTACCTTTAAATACAGCACTATTCTGAACAACACTATTCCATTATAGCACTAAACCTGTGTCAAAAATGGCTAGGGTTAGAGTTGAAGCATCCCTATGAAAAACTTGCACAAAACCAGAGCAACATGTGACAGGTGGCCAACCCCCCCTCTCTAGCTACCTGTCAAAGCTTGTCTCCATCCCAGCTCCAAACATCTGGACTGCGGGATGTTTTTCCCATCACCTGGCGATCCTTGGTTGGAAGGCACGTGAAGCCAAGGGAATCCACAGTGCCTTTCCTTAACTTGTTCTGCATTAAAATGTTAAGGATAGCCCAGCCCCACTCCCTGGCACTGCTACTGAGGCAGAATACAGCTCAGCACTGAGGGGAGTGCAATTTATGCCTGCCAACTCAAGGACATTAACTGGTTAGTGAGGAAGATCTCTCAGTTTCTTCTAGAGGCCTGAACTAATCCACTAATTTCTTTCTGCTGCTAACTAAGGCAGAGATTTGATGTGTGTTCCATTTTCCACACAAGCAGGAGCATCTTTGGGGAGGGTCAAAAAAGTCAAGATGGTGGTCTCCAACCCCCCACCCCTTTTTATGGTTGTCACCCATGCAATGCATGCCCAAAAGGAGCAGGGCTTTGATCTCACAGTTTTGGCTGCCATCTTGATTTCTTGACTTCCCCACTCTCCGTGGCCACCCCTGCACACAAGCCCATGGCTTGTTTTAGTCAGAATATTTGAAACCTGGGAGATGTTAGCACATAAGTCTTTCTTTATAAAAGCAAGATTCTAGCCAAGGACAGAACAGGAGAAACATCAAGAGTCTTACGCTATCTTAAAGTACAAACAAAAATTAGTACTGGTAGAGTACTAACAAAGACTAATAGACCTATTGCAAAAGGCCAATAAAGATATCCTTCTGGAAACTTGAAAAACATTTGAGTAATGTTTAGTGAAATACCAGAAAGGAGTGAAGTGTTTCCAGCAGTAGTGAGATAGGTCATTGCTCTCTTGTGGAATCCTAACCAGCAGAATCTGAACAAACGATGTAAAACACGTTTTTGTAAAATGGTCACAGAAGTTGGATCTTATAAGACAAAATAGCACAGAACGTACATAGCAGTGGATAAGGGATGCCTCCTTGTAATTTAGGGTTAGATTAAGTTAGCTTTAGGCACGTCTACAAGAAATAAATATTTTTCAGTTCCATGGATTTATGACCAGGTAAATGTGCATAACAGTCTAGAACTATAACATTAACACCTCACTGCATTATTTCCACTTGACCCTTCTGAATACACGTGCTTTATGATGTTAGTTTTCATATTCTAAGAGCAATTATTTTCTACATTTATATATCTAACATACCTTTATGTACACCTGAGCACCCAGAAGGAGGTCTGTAGTTTTTTTTTTTTTAATTCCAAGGGAAAATTTTTCATCATTGCTTTTCTTACCTCTCTGCAGCAACAGCAGTCATAGAATAAATGCTGACAAACATTGCGGTAACGGGAACAAAATTATGGAAGCGGCAGAACCCCTCACCAAAATACCAGACATTATGACAGGCGTAAATAAAATTGAAAACTGTGTTTAAAGCACTCATAAGCAGATCGGAAAGAGCCAGATTCACAATAAAATAGTTGGTGACTGTTCTCATTTGTTGATGCGACAGGATAATCCAAATGACGGTGCCATTGCCTACAATCGATGCCGTGACTATAAATAAGTAGGTGATGGCCCAGAGCGCAATTTGCCAGCCAGGCTGAGAAAATGCAGTCATCGCAGTCTGGTTAACATCATCTTCAAAAATGCGATCCTCGGAAGCATTGTTAACGTTTGAGAAGGAAACTGTCGTCATGTCTTTCTTCTGCTCAAAAAACAAAATAAAACACCACCTGGCTGCAATTGACTTGATTTGGAGATCTCAGTCTTATCAATAGAATTATGAGCTCATCATAATTTTGTATGGTGGCTTGAATCTAGAGGCATTGGTTCATCACATACTGACATTCAGAGATGCAAATGAAGGAGAAGCGATTGCCGCTCTTACATTCGTATCATCGCAATTTGTGATGAGAAGAATCTTCTTAAAAATCTTTGTGTGTGTGTGTGTGTGAGAGAGAGAGAGAGATACATGAAAGAAGATACTGATAATTCAGCATGGAATTGATAGACTTTAGTGTGTTCTTCCTTTGCAGTTCAGAACATTATGGAAGCAGGCAAACGGGGAAAAAAATCTACCAGGCTTAACAAGATTCCAAAAGGAGGTGACGAGACAAGAGTATACAAAATTAACTATGCATCAAATCAGGTTTCAGGAAGTGGGTTCCTCATTTCCTTCCAAAGCTGTTGCATTAATCTCAGTGACTCTACCCTCCAGTTCAAGTGAGTAGCCTCACAGATTTTACCCTACAAGGACCAAGACCTTTATTCCTTGAATAACTACAAACTCCCACTTTTTGTGGGAGTTTCAATAAGCAGAACTTGGCCTGTAGAACACCATAAATATTGTCAAAAGGGCTCAAGAACAGCTCCAAAGCCATGATACAGAAGACAGGAAAATGATTTAGAAGTCAGAGGGAAACCCATTTCTTATTTCAAAAAATCTGCCTACTGACTGCTCTGTGAACCTCCCTAAACATTTCTAGGTAACCGCAGACAATGCATATTGTCACCAGGATCTGAGATCCCATAGGACAGTGTTGCCCAAACTTGGCCACTTTAAGATGAGTGGACTTTAACTCATGAGTGGACTTCATGCTGGCTGGGGAATTCTGGGAGTTGAAGTCCACTCATCTTAAAGTGGCCAAGTTTGGACAACACTGCCATAGGATAAGGTATCCTAGAACATATTTCCTAACAGTGGGCACATCTGTATCCCAAAACTCAAAGGGCTCTTCAGAATGTTATTCCAAGACCAAGAATCAGCTAAAGAAAAACATTTTGCCTCTCCCTGCAATATGTATGAACTGTTATCTGCCCTTGTGTGGGAATTTGTGAAATGGTATTTTACAAGTGCCATACATTTCTCTCAAACAGTTTGGATACTGTATTTATGTTCAGTGGTGCCCACTGGGTGGGACAGAGAGCACTTTCTATGGGTGTCATGACATCACTCGCACTCCTCATAGTGGAGAGCTTGTGACACGAGGCTACCACACTTCCTGCATCATTCTGGCAAAGGCAGTGAGAGCCTGTGGGTGCCAGTGTTCATCTACTACTTTATCTGCCCATATAATCAAAATCCATTCTTAAAAGTTCCATTGTTATTTATTTAATTTTAAATTGTATAATTTACAGTTGGGTAATTTCTTGTACATTTACGTCCAATGAAATTTCTTGAACTAGTCCATTATCCACACGGAACATCACCTTGAAAACACATTGAAGACTTCTGATTGACCTCATCTGAGTATTCAAGCAGGTGGAGATATTTTTGTAGAACAGGAAAGCCTTGATAAAATATTATGATGAATCACCTATTACAAAATAGTCAGAATTTACGCAAACATGATTTCAAGAGTGCTGTGTTCAGTTTCTAATACTTTTTTATTGTAAATACTTTTACATCAAACAATGCTTAGGAATATGCTAGCGATGAGGTACAAGTTAAAATCAAGCAGCCCAACCTTAAATAAATACCGTATCAACTCCAATTTCCCCATGTGCAGAATTCCCATCACTAATTTTTTAACATATGATCAATTCAATAAATCAACCTTTGAAAGTTACTAGTTTGCAAAGGTCAGTTAATAACTGCATTCACACATTAAGTCTGGTTAGTTTAAAACCTGGTTAGTTTTTTGTGGCTTAATATCCTGTAAGACTGTTGGATTATGTTATGGTCCAATGTATAGTGCAAATGCAGAAAACTGGTTAATTCAGTCTCCAGGTTCTATGAACAAGAGCAAAGCTTGCATGGCATAGTGATTGTAGAGAAAGCTCTCAACATAGAAGCACACGCTCCCATGGTCCTAGCAGATTAATAATTACTAAAAGAAACAAACAAACAAACAAAACTTCTACTAAGGCTAAAAGAGGAAAGGCAAAGCGATGAGTCCCTTCCATTCCAGTCTGTTCACTTACCTGTATAGTAGGTGTGGTGGCCTTTGGGTATAGCTTGTGACCTATCATGCTGCATTTGATTTACGTTTTGCCCTTATGCTGCTATTACCCCAAATGCTTAGTGTTATAGGCTGGGTTTGATTCAAATGAATGAATGGAATTGTTCCATCAATTTCACTGGGAATAAATATGACAAAGCCTGAATTCAGTCCAGCGAGGAGCATAACTCGAATAACTTACATAGAATAAAAGTCTTGTATATATTGTAAAAGTGATATAACCTTTCATCTTTCCTTGTACATTACTGTCTGAGGAAATGAGCTAAAAATATCCTACATCTTGAGATTTCCCAATGTCAGTTTCAATTTCCTTGAAACCTTGATTTCAAATTCATCTGAAGACTTTAAAGAAGTGTTTTCTTTAGAATCAATTCACGTAAACCAGTCCATAAATGAATTTGAAAATGCACTTACTTAAATTTTAATCTTTAAAATTTCACCTGAAAATGTTGTTAGCAACTGTTGAGATTTTTCTCACAGACTCAAATCTTGCACAGCTGCACAAAAGAATGGAAAAGACCAACATCCTTGGATATTCTGTATGTGACAGAAGAAAGTAATTCATTAAATGCAAAATACAATGGATTTGATATTTAATATCTTACTTAATGGATTTCATGGACACAATGATCTGTAATTATTTTAAATAGCTGTATAGTATTTCCAAGAGTTCTCAAACAAGGTCAGAATGGTAATTACATTCTTTGATGGAAAGTTTCACAACTCAAGTTCTTGATGCTTCAGAAGATGAAGAAATACTGTATTTATACAAAATAATATGTATAAAAAATAATTGTTATGTTTTACTGCTAGACCCTTATACAGTAAGGGGATGTGCTCCTTATTGGTTAGCAGAAAGATTCTGTTCTGCTCCTAGAAGAAAATACATTTAAAGGTCACATGTAGGAAGTCCAGCAGAATTTCAAGCAAGTTTTTGTAGTTTTGCACAATGGAATTATTTATAAACCCTCAGCATAATTTAGGTAGTAATACTATAGTTTTAAGATACAGGGGTGACATGTAAGTAAAATTAAAGGAAGTGTGTTAGTAAAGACAGGAGTTTTGTTAAATGCAAAGCATAAGATGCAATGAGATGCATGGGATAAAACCTGAAAGCTACTCAAATATGTTGATATTAGACACTGACACAACTTGGGTAATGCTAGTCATTTATTCTCAATTCCTTCATTCATTAGCTTGCTTGTTGGCAAACGGCTAAGAACAAATTCCGCAGTTGTTGGCCACATCAATGAGCTATTCTCCCTCAAGAAAATAGCTTTCTTGTGTAAGGCCTGAAGTGATACATTTCTCTCTTTAAGCTAGGTTAATATCAATCATATATTCTACTCACGCTAGCTAAATAACATCATAACATTTCACTTTTTTCCCCCTTGTGTTCAGTTAGGGGGTTGCTGCAAAGTAACAACAATAATGAGATGAATAATGATGATGATTTTGGGCTATAGAATCTTTCACGATAAGAAAAAGATTCTAAGTGCTAAGTGCAGATTCTAGGCACCGACAATGCATTCCACAAAGCTGGTGTATATAATGCTACAGTGCAATCAATCTTTAATGTTATGAAAGATTCTCAGCCCATTTGCTTCTAAACAGTTGCTCGCCGTAACTCTCACAGGAAACGTGCACAAGCAAAGAGCTCCATATCACCACCAAACATAATAAAACTGCCTCCACAGCATCACCCAGATCTTAAAACACATTTACAGGTAACCGTAGGTAAGAGCTTGTACTAAGGACTACCTTGTAGTGATAACGGCAGCAACACATGAGTATTTCTCCACCCTTACTGCATCAGCAAATATCTGCCTGGCAACCCTGTTTCAGATTACTTGGTTCCTTCTGGGTAAGGAGGGGTCAGGAAATCCCTTGCAGGGTCGCCCTGGGGATAGCCAGGCATACTGATGGATAGTCACTTGGATTAGCTTGGAGTCGGATTTCAGCCATGCTGGTCCTGTAGAGGTGACTGAGATCCAGTCTTGTCCAGTTATCTGGGCAGAGTTTGATCTGGTTACTCCTGAGGGTCCTTGGGATGTTGAATTCTGCCACCTGTGCAGAATTAGATCTATGCCCCTCCTGGCTGGTCTTGGTTGGGTTCAAGTGGTGGTGCATGTCTCTTTGCAGGGGGGTGGTTCTGCCTGGCTTGAAGGAAGCGGTGGTTCGCCTTCTCCTCAGAGGCCATCGCTGGACCCATCTGTACTGGGCAACTTTCATCCACTCTCCAAACTCCCTTTTCAGCTTGTAACTCCAAAGGTGGAAGCAGATTATCTGGACCTGTGGCAGAGGGGATTCAGATTGGGTATAGCACTGAGACAGCATTGATTGCACTTGTGGATGACCTCTGGTGGGCTCGGGATGGGGGTAGTGTATCCTTCCTGGTCCTCCTTGATCTCTCTGGCTTTTGATATCATCCATCATGGTATCCTTCTGAACCGGTTGAGGGGATTGGGAGTGGAGGTACTCTTCTTCAATGGTTCTCCTCTTTCTTCCGGGGTCAGTTCTAGTCGGTAGAGGGGGAGAGGTACAGTCCTAGGCCCCTGCTTTGTGGGGTGCTCCAGGGCTCAACATTCTCCCTGCTCCTATCTGACATCTACATGAAGCTGCTAGGTGAGCTCATCTGTTGGCATGGGGTTAACTATCATCAGTATGCTGATGATATTCAGTTGTACATTTTGGCCCCAGGCCATCCAAGTGATGCTGCCAAGATGCTTTCCCAGTGCTTCAAGGCTGTGCGGGTTAGGAAGGGGAAGAACCAACTTCTGCTCAACCTTGACAAGACTGACTGGCTGTGGGTCTTAGTGGCCTCCATATTTAGTAATTGTCCATGGTTAACCCTGAATTGGGTTATGCTCCCCCACTCAGAGTCAGTGTGCAATCTGGACATTCTCTTAGACTCACAGCTCATGCTCAAGGAGCAGGTGGCAGCTGTGGCCAGGAGAGCATCCTGTGCGCCAGTTGTGCCCATTTCTGGATTGGGAGGCACTGCTTATGACTCACACCTTACTTACCTTCTGATTGGACTACTGCACACATTCCACTTGGGTCTGCCCTTGAAGAGCATTCTGGACCAGCTAGTCCAGTAAGCAGCAGCACATGCAGTTTTGGGCACACTGCAGTACTCCCATATAACACTGCTGCTACACAAGCTGCACTGGCTCCTAGTAGGTTTCTGGGTTCTATCCAAGGTGCCAGTTGTCACCTCCAAAGCCCTACATGGCATGGGACCAGGTTACTTGCAGGACCACCTATCCCCAGTGTTTTTTGCCTGCTCCACCAGATCTGGTCGAGTGGGTGTGCTCTAGCTGCATCAATAATTCAATGTCATCTGGCAGATCCCCTGAAGTGTGCCTTCTCTACTATGGTGCCTGCCCTATGGAACAGCCTCCCCCTTAAAATACAGACAACCCCTACTCTACTGGCCTTTTGCAAGGCCGTGAAGACCTGGCTCTCCCCTGGCTCTCCCCTAGGCATTGGGGTTGGGATGTTACCATGGGAACCCTGAGATGAGTGCATGTGTCTAGTGCAGTGTTTCTCAACTTTGACAACTCTAAGATGTGTGGACTTCAACTCTCAGAATTCCATGGCTGGCTGGGGAATTCTGGGAGTTGAAGTCCACACATCTTAGAGTTGTCAAAGTTGAGAAACACTGGTCTAGTGGTTGGGTGTTTTTATTGAGCCTTGATGCAGTTTTAGTTGCATTTACTGAAACTCTCTGTTTTTGTTTTGTTTGCTGCCCAGAGTTTCTTGGGTAGATAGGTTGCCATATAAATTAGATTAATAAATGAATAAATACTTGAATAATTACATAACTGACATCCATAAATGTCTGTGACATTCTTGTGACAAAACTTCCACAGCACAACAAGTACTGTTAATCTTAGTCGTTATAGGGGATTATAAAGACTGAAAACAGATGTAACATTGAAGTAGGCGTTCTGAACAGCTTCTTCCAGCTGCCACCAATGTGAAATTCAAATCCCTTTCATCACATTTAAACGTGTTGCTTGCTTGTATCACCCCCGCTGTACTGTGATTTAACAAAAATTCTGTTCGATGGTATGGAATAAATATTTTGGCTTAGGCCCAATTGTTTTTTTAAACAATTTTTTTAAACCATCCTATTTAGTTTCTTCATAGATATTTTGTGATTTAAAAAAGTGAATGCAAGTCAGTTGGATGGGAGACCCAGGAAATACTAGGAGTGTAAGCTAGATTAAAATCGAAAGAACATCTGGGAGGAAGATGTAGATTCTAAGGACTGGAAGACTTCATGCTTTGAGGCTCTATATGAAATAAATACATGTGCATAAAAGAACTCCATGAGTTCATTTACTTCCCCATTCAAATGTACAGGAGGAAGCATAAAAAAGAAAAAGAAGAATTATCTGTGCAAACCTTCAAAGTGAAGTTAATATTCTGCTGCCTTTATTACCATTTGCTTCTCATTTCTTACACGGTTCCGCAGAATATGATGTCCTGTGCACTGGCGGTCTGACCCTAACCCATGTTAACCGAACAGATTTTTCTTCCCAAGCAGCCATCCTGAAGAATCTCACCCAGTTGTGGAGCTAAAGAAGAGGGCTGGAGGACTTTGAACAGTTATGCACAGGAAAGGTTGGACTAGAGATCTCGGAACTTTCTTTCAGAAACTCTGGTTCTACAATATAAGGATCCCAAAAGGTTGGAAGCGTTCAGGCGCTCTGGAAGAGGGATTCACTCCGGACCGAACCAGGCGCAGACTAGACTTACAGCGCAGCCCGCTGCTTAACCCGAGGCGCTCCCTTCCCGACGAGAGGCGATCTACGGACCTCCGTTGGACCTCCACTCCTGGCCGCATTTCCAGC